CGTTGCGTAATGTTAACCCGTTCCATTTCAGACTCGCGAGAAAGCCTACGATATTGTCTTTACGCATCACATCCTGGTTTGCGTTTTCAACCAAAAGGATGACCCACTACTTGGACTACGGCAGCTGGTAAACTCCTTACGGTTACGTGATTTWAGTGACGTTTAACGCAAGATATTGCTTACGTTTATTTTATTTCATTAAACGTAAAAATCGTAATTTTTAAGAATGTGTGTTTAMGGAAATATTTTRTTTCAAGGTCATGCCTTTACGAGCAAGCAATTTACAGCAAAGTGATYTGAAACAGATTGTCTTCCTCGGTGACAAWGATTATTTGAAAAGAGAGGTACGATAGTTGTGTGGACATTGCATTGTTAGTTTGAAATAATAGTCTATGGTATCCCTGTGTAGTTTCCTAATATGTACATCATTATTTCTCTACAGTGGGAAAATGTTGGCAGTTTTGATAATGTGCATATTCTACCGGTAAGCATATATCAGCGTGAAATCAATGGGAGCTCAGCTAAGAGACTGTTCCATGTGGGATTGACTCGTAGTACATGCGTGAGCATGCGTAKTAGTCGAGTTGGACCATCTARTGGRACTGGAAATTACTGATATGTCATAAGCATACAGGTCTTGACTAAACKSATGCTGATCTCGTAGGGATCTCCATTCTGTCGTGCGGATCTTCGTGCGGTCAACGCTAATCTAGCTGACATGGTWGTATTCCTWTCGTCCACCACGGCGGGAAACTCCGCTGAYCCAAAACTTGCTGATAAACAGTCAGTCTTGGCATCGTTAAATCTCAAGGTAAAGGGTTTTGTTAGTATCATTAGCTTAGTAGAGATCATATAGTGAAAATGGCAGCAAGTATTCCCCTCGAAGCTTTGTTTATCTTTGAATAGAAATACTTCGTACTATTAGCAAGAAACTTACTCTTTATTAGCCCTTTATGCTCATGAATGGAGGTGTTGTAAGATTCGATCGTAAAATCGACGGATGGAATAGATTGTGTGCGCATATTTAAAGTCACCTCAAAATGGCTAATTTTATGTGAGAAATTCAAGCCACGGCCGCATTGAATGCTGGTTGGTGGTGGAACTTTAAGCCTGAAAATAATACTAACCTCGGGGAAGAGAAGGTTTCAAAGTGTAATTGATAAAGAACCCATATATTAGCAACAAATGGATTTTAACTTTGTGTAAAAGACTCAGCTGGTCTACGTTATTCTGTGAAAGTTTTTATAAATATTTTCTTCATTTTGTTTCTCTTTTTCTTTGGTGATGGTAATTGCTATCTAGGCGGTTGTACACTACACAAAGCAAATAGGAACCAAAGTTTAGCTCACTTTGATCTAGAAACTTTTTACATTAATGGCAACCTTGGAGACTACTTCCTTTAAGGTTAACCGCTGGTTATTTGACTGCAGGCGATGTCATTCGATGATGCAGCTGGTATGCTTAAGACATCAACAAGAGA